CCCCCCCCCCCCCAAAAAAAAAAAAATAAAAAAAAAAAAAAAAAAAAAAAACCCTCCTAGTCTGGCTATGTTTTTGTTTTTTTTTGTTAATTGAAACCGGAAGTCCAGACTCCAGAAGCCTTTTCCAGTTGCTATGTAACTACTTTCGTAAAATCCTAAACAAAAGATACCGTCTTGCGTCACCTCTTCCAACAGTTACACATAATTTGGATTGTAAATAGTCGTTGAATAGAGCTGTGTTTGGATATTAATCTGCACACATTCCAATAAATTCAAACAGAGAATATTTTTTTTTATAAACTTTTAATTAGCTTCTTCTTAAAAAAGTTATCTAATAAATATATTCATAAGAAAATAAGAAATATAAAAAAAAAAATATCTTTTTCTTATAATTTGTATAAAACAAACTTGTGTATTATAATACTATTGAAGGCTTTTCATCTAACTCCTCAGAAAAGTTGAAATAAGTTGATTTTAATTTATAAGGAATGTTTGATTTGTTTATTTTTTTTTCTTCAATAGATGTTTATCACAAGATATACCTTATTCTTTTTTGCTTGAGACAACACCAAAAAATCATATGCTTCTTGGTACTTTTGGACAAACACAGCAACCAAAATCAAACATGCATGCACTAAGTTGTGACCTCTTAGTACCCAAAGGATCAAAGTAATTAAACAGCATCTTTACTTGGCTAGAAATGTATAGACCATGGGTGACACAAAGGTCTAGGGTGGGTGATATTCATATAATTAGGTAGTAGATGTATCGTATATTAATAGCAAAACAACAGGGTGAATGAGTTGATATTTATAGTATGCATACACATGGATCTACACACAGATAGATAGCTTCTTTATTTGTTTGAAAAAGACATATATATGTAGGCATAAATAAGGAAGAAAGCACATGGTGACGGTGACATTGATAAAACTAAGGAGGAAAACAATTATAGAAAGAATAAAGAAATGAGTGATGAGAGAAATTAAGCATATATATATATATATATATATAGGATAAGGAGGTAGAAGTGAGGGAGTAAAGATTGAGAGTGGTGAATAGTAGAATTGGATTGTAAAGAGGAAGGTGAACCTGCGTTCGGAGGAATAGTGGAAAAGTTTTCCTTTGGAGGAGAAGATGATAAGAGCGAGTTGAGCATCGCATAGCACAGAGATTTCGTGCGCTTTCTTGAGGAGTCCGGATCTGCGTTTGGAGAAGGTGACTTGCTGGGTGGTTTTGTTCTCGATCCGCTTGAGCTGAACCCTACCTCGTCCCATTGGAGATTGAGGTTGAGGTTGAGGTTGTGTGAAGAAGGAAAGAAAGAAACCCTAGGTGGAGAGAAAAAAAGAAGAAAGAGAAAGGGAAGGAGGGCTAATAATAGGATAGGAATAGAATGCGTTGTCGAAGTGTGAGTGGAGGGTACGATGCGTTGTCGAGAGGGCATTGAAGAAGGTAGATGTGTCGTACTAACATGGCGTAGCCTTGGGAGACAGGCCGTACGCTTCTGTGGGTTCCACCGATGAGCGAGGGACGGGAAACGGGTTTTGCTCTGTTCCGTTTGTGGCACTCACTCTCGGCTCCTCATTGGTTCACCGCTGCATTTCCTTCTTTCTTACCCTACTCTCTACTCTCTACTCTCGTGTGCTCCTTTTTGTTTCTTTCCACACCACTCCATACTCATTTTCCTACTACTACTACTACATGCTTTTCAAACAATTTTAATTAACTTTTACATCATGCTTATGCCTTTACTTATAAACTACTTTTCTCTTCATTTCAATTTCAAAATAATGTCACTTTTTTTTTTTACATCAATAAACAAACTTTTCTACTTGAGATAAAATAGTCAAGAGCAGCTAGCTTAGACATCCTTTAAAAGTCTAAAGGTGATCACTACATTTTAAGTATTGTTGGTTATAATGTTTATTATTAAGAATTCACGAGGATATTATAAATTACACTTTACCTTAATTCCTAAATAATGGAAGAAGAAAAATGGACATGCTGAAGCATTTGAGAAATTAGATTTTGTTATATTGTAAATTGAAAATTTTGATTAAATAAAACTTATGTATTAGTCTTAATAGAATTGAGTAATACTTTTTATAAAAAAAATTGAGATATATGTTAAAAATATTTACTTTGTCAACTAGCTAACTAAGAATTATATTAGTATGACTTTTGAGTAATTACTAGAAAAGTTAATAAACTTGTTATTTATGAAAGTTTTTGTGGTTTTTTGATGACTTTGTAAAAGGAATTTACATTGTCATGCACACATTATTTACTTAAAAGGGAGTTAATCAACTTCAGTTTTGATTTCTATTTTATATTTGTTCCTAACTTTTATAGAAAAAATATTTTTTATTTCTTGCTGATAATTTATGGTGTGTTCAAAATGATGGAAAATAAATAAATGAAAAATAAAGTGCAACAAAATATAATAAATACAAATAGATAAGAAATCAAATGAAAATAAGAATGTTTGATTTAAAATAAATATGAAAGATAAAATTAAAACTATTATTTATAAATCATTTAAATTTTTATTTAATTAATCAAACAAAAAAATTGAATGTTGAATCATGTTCATCAAATTGGGGTATAGAAACAAACATTTGATTAAATGTTGTATCATTTTTTATTTTTTTTTACCGTCGTTTCGCATTTTACTGTGAAAATTAGAAATTATGATCTTCTCCCATATTTTATTTCTCATCTCTCATTTGTTTTCTTTCAATCACACTCACTTTTACTTGAGTCATTCAACACTTACATTTCTTAACTTAATATCAATGTGACTGAAATTATTATTTTATCCTTAGAAGAATTGATCCCGTTAGAAGGAGTTACACCTCCTTATTAAAATAATAATAATAATAATAATAAAATAAATAAATAAATATATATATATATATATATATATACCCATAAAATTAAACAGTGTTAGTAATAGTTATATTTAATAATACTACTTCTTAAAAGTTAAAAAATAATTTTTTCAACTAATGAACATTTTATCCAATATAAAAATCAATTTGGATCCTCTCCTGCAATATTCTCTCTCCAGCCTCTTTCCTGCAACATTGATAGCTATTAAAAAGTTATATTAATTATAAGATTAAATTTGAGTCATTAGATATATCTAATGACTATTAATGTTGCAGGAGAGAGGCTGGAGAGAGAATATTGCAGGAGAGGATCCAAATTCTGTGGTTACAAGCAAGTTGAGCACGAATATTTACTATAATGGTGTGTTTGAATGAAAAATTTTACAAATTCAATGAATTTTAAATTCTTAGTATTTGAATTACTTTGATTTCAATTTCTATCATTATTAAAATATTTTGTTTGAATAAGTCGATTCAAATTTCTCAAATTTTAAATTATTGGATTGGATATGATAATTTGATTTCACCATTAAAATTAATTTTAAAAATATATTTATATGTTGATATTTTTAAATTAAATTTTAGCTAATTTTTAAATATTTAATAATTTTAAAAATTAATATTAGATAATATTTTATAATTTTGAAAATATTTTTTAATATTCAATAATTAAAAACATGAAGAGATGAAAGATAAGATAAAATATATAAGTGAAATAAGAAAAAAAATATGAAAAATTTCAAATTTTTACTTCTTTTGAAAAAATTTGAAATTTTACTATTTCAAGAAATTTCATAAATGCTTAAATTTCAAATTTTTTATAAATTATCCATCTAAATAAGATATTTTATCTCAAAAAATTTAAATTTTTTTAAATAAATAAATTTTCATTTAAATTCTGCTGTCAAAACACTATAAAGTTATTACGAGGCTTGACGTGAAAATGTTACAGTAGGAAGCTTTTTGGTGCTTGTAATGTTGAGACACTGTTTTTGTTTTGTATAGTTCATTTGGTGATTGGTAGTGATCCTGACACATGTTGAGCTTGTTCTGTAGTTCTGATAGTTATTAGTGTTTTTGCATTTCCGAAAAAACAAGTATCCTTAACTGCAGTTGTACCTGGTTCCCCATCTGCTTCAATCAGTAATAATAGAAATAAAAGTTATAAATGCTGTCTCCATTATTCGGTCACCAATAATTGAATCATTCAACCACTATGTGTATTTTTTTTTTATCAGTAAAACCACTATGTGTATCTGAATTAATTTTTTAATTACATCAAAATCACATCATCTTGAAAATCAAGTAATATATATAGCTACTTCAACTTTTAAAAAATTTCACTAAAATTTTGAGAAAATATTGAGAGTCAAAATTGATTCTTTGCAGTATCCAAATATACTCAAATGCAGCCGAAGAAGCATGAAAATGTTAGGCATCTATCCTTTAAAACAGATTGGAATGGAGGAAAGAAAGATGAAAATGAAAAGGAATATAGTATGTTTATTAATTTATTAATGTTGCAAGGATTGTGCATTTGTCATGAATCATGATGGGTCTTTTCATTTATTTGGTTGATTGGTCTTATGCCTTCCGCGTGATAAATCACTTCTCGTCATCTTATGGATGGGTCAAAGCAAACTTCCATCAGCCGACACAAGAAAACAGTTGTGGGTCAGAGGTTTGATTAATTTTTCTAAAAAAATTAGATTAATTATCAATTTTTATCACTCTTGCGAAATACAAGTTTGATTTCCTGTGTATAAGAGAAGATTTTATTAGAATAGAAAAACTACTTTAGTATACATATGAAAATTACTGAAAATGCAAACTAGACCACAATCAACTACCATACCAAAATCTACGATCAAAATGAACCAAAACAAAGATGAAAACAAAATCTAGGGAGAATGAGAGCGTTGCAAACCTAAACAAAGATGACCAAAAACGAGAGCAAAATGATAGCAAGATGGCAAGGTTTGGGAAAAATGAGATTGCAAGGGAGAAAAAGTGTTGATAACTCATGTTTTATATTTATATATATAAGAATGAACCTATTTATTTCATAAACAAATTTATCTAAACTTATTCTATTTAATAACTTAATGTATATATATAGAGAGAGGAAGAATTTCCCATTAATAAAATCTATAGCCCTTATTACTTAAACATAAAAATGCATGTATCTATAAATGCATTATCAATGTTACTACCAAAGATTAAAAAAAATGGTAAAAAAAAGTTTAGATTAAGATAAAACACCAATTTATGCAAGATTAGAGTTAACTACTAATCTCATTAAAATTTTTTGGTGAAATTATGGATCGTCTACCCCATCCTCAAAGCAAGTAAATATCAATGAATGTAAAATTTTAAGAAAGTCAAATTCAATTTAAGGTTCTAACTAGTAGAAACAAAAAGACTTAACAAATTGTGTAGTGTAATGTTAAAATTGTGAGTTATCTCGTGGGATCGCACAATTTTATGGTTTGTGAAAGGTATTTCATCATGCTAGATCATATGCAGAATCATGGAGAAGAAGAAGAAAACTTATGTTGTGTATCCCTTCTTAGCCCATAACTTTTCTTCTTTTCTTTCTTTTCTTTTAAGTATTTATCGTCACGTTTTCTTTCTTTTCTTTTAAGTTTCAAATATATATTTAAAACATTTGAAAGTCTCAAGTGTCAATAATTAATTTTTTATTTTCATTTAAATAATTTTTTCTTTAACTTTTTATAATTCTTTTATAAATATATTAAATCCATTATTTAATAATCAATACTTTTTCATTTCCAAATTACTATTACTTTTGAAGTATTATTGTTTTTTCTTTACTTAATTAATCATTATATAATTAACTTTTTTTCTTATAAATATATTAAATCTAAGATTTAACAATTAATACTTTTTTATTTTCAAATTATTTAATGTATTACTTTTGAAGCATTATTTTTTTTCTCACTTAATTAAGTATTATATATATTTTTTATATAATTTTTTAAGAATTTTTAGAAATAATGGAATATGTTAATTTTTTAAATTCAATCCTAATAAAATTTAGTAATTCAACCATTTTTTATGTTAATTTTATGAATCATTACTTTTTTTTATTAAGTATTAGTATATTAATTTTGAAACATTATTATTTTTTCTTTGCTTATCTAAGCATCATATAATTTTTTTAATATGATTTTTTAACAATTGTCAAAAACAGTGAGATATGTTAATTCTTTTAAGTTTAATCTCAATAAATTTGAGTAATTCAACCGTTTTGTTTATGTTAATTCTACAAATGATTATTTTTTCTTTTGAAGTATTAGTGTATTATTTTTTAAACATTTTTTAATTTTTTTAGTACAATTTTTTTACAAATTTAAAAAACATTGAATGTGTTAATTTTTTTAAATTTAATTTCAATGAAATTGAGTAATTCAACTATTTTTTTTTATGTTAAATCAATTAATTCTTTTTTAATTGATTTTCCTTCTTTCACTATTTTTTCTCTCATTTAATTTTTTATTTTATTAGTGTTTATTTTTAAACTATTGATGAAAAAATGGCATCAAGAGGAGGAACTCAATGAATGAACCACCACGGAAAATGGATAAAACGCTGCTAAAATGAAAGTTAATGTGGCATGGAAATATTGTGTTTTAATTTATGAGAATGCAAGAAAAGTCAAGTGCAAATTTTGTGAAAAGACATCACAGGAGGGGTTTATCATTTGAAACATTAATTGACATGAACATCCAATGATGTTGGAGTATGTAGATCAGTCCTTG